AGAAAGACCAAACTTTGATTAGAAGCTTGGAACTTTTGGTCCAACCTCGGACGAGGAGAGAGGGGCTAGAGATTGAGTTAATCACAAATGCCCAGTTATTTAATCAGTCATGCCTGTGTGATGAAACCTCCATAAAACCCCCTAAAAGGTCCCTAGCCTTTTTGGCTCCAAGGACTGGTGCTCCTATGAGAATCTAATACCTGATGATCTGAGGTGGAGCTGAGGTGGTGAGGCCAACGCTGGGGAGCAGCTGCAAATACAGATGAAGCTTTGCTCACTGGTCCGCCATATGGCCCAGTACCTAACAGGCCACGGACCAGTACTGGTTTGTGGCCTGGGGGGGGTTGGATACCCCTGCCCTAAGTGACAGGGTTCAGAGAGCTTCTAGATTGATGAACACATCAAGGTTTTGGAGGGTGGCAAACCAGAGAGGGCACAGAGGCTCTCTGCTTCCCCATATCTATGCTTCTCTTCCTTTTCGCTGTTCTTGAGTTGTATCCTTTATAATAAACCAATAAGAGTAAGGAAAACACTTTCCTGAGTTCTGTGAGTTATTCTAGTGAATTATCGAATCGAAAAAGGAGATAGTAGGAACCTCCAATTTATCGCTGGGTGGTCAGAGTATAGGTAGCCCGGAAATTGTGATTGTCTTCTGAAGCAGGACAGTCTTGTGGGACCGAGTCCTTTAACTTTGGGCTCTAGCTAATTTTGCGTGGGTGGTCTTGGAATTGAATTGAATTGTTAGACACCTAGTTGATGTCAGAGTTGAAGTGGTGTTGGAAAAGATAATACATATTCGATGTCAGGAGGAGAAAAAGAACCTTTATTACCCCATGTAGGTCGGTCGGTCTATCTATCTATCTATCTATCTATCTATCTATCTATCTATCTATCTATCTATCTATCTATCTATAGAATTACAAGAAGAAATTTAGGGCAAACCCCAGAAGATGCAAAGTCAGTATAGATTTCACTCTCCTGTTCTGTCCTACAAACTGTGACATGTGTCTGGATATACCAGTGTACATTACACTGTTTGCACAGTGAGAATCTACTTAAATTCTTGGACCATTCTACATGACTAATGTATTATTCAAATACATATATGCACAACATAACAAAACCTCAATATAGGGTTCACTTAAACAGTAAGGCTCTGTCCTTCACTACTGTGTAATTGCCAAGCAGAGAATGGAGCATATCGTTTCAAGCTTAATTTCAGATTGCCTAGGAGGGATGGGGCAAATACATTTCAGAAATAGTATGAGGCAGCTCATTATCTTGAGACTTTAATTTGAGGGTTCATCCAACCATAGAGCCTTTCATGCATTCATTCATTGTACAGATATTTATTGAGCTCCTAGTGTCTATGCCAGGCCCCTTGGTGAACAAGACAAAAGGTCCTTATTTTCACTATCCTCTCTGTTCCAGTTTCTTGGGCAGATGGTGTAGGACGTTTTAACAAAAAGCAACTTTTTATTCATTCATTCATCCTGCTTGTGTTTGTTTGAGATTCTATAATACAGGTAAACTATTGGGAGTTATTTAAAAAAAGACATCAGCTCTGCCTTCAAAGCCCTTGGAAGCTCGTTTGTTCATCAGTCAGTCATTCATTCAGAAAAAGGTGTGTTGAGCCAGGCAACATGCCAAGTCAGTGCCAGGGAAATAACAGAGATGAACAAGAGCACAGAGTCAGTCCTTGAAGGGCTTCAAGTCCTCGAAGTCAGATGCTGGAGGGGTGAAAAGATTGTAATGTCTTTGGTAAAGCATGGTAATGATAATGATCTCAGCCCACAATATTGGGACAGTAGAAAGGGAACACAGATGTGGGGTTTCCTAAATTGGCTCCATGTAGGTGAAAGTTTCAACATGTGACTCTTGAGCTGACTTTTTAGTTGGGGTTGGAGAAAAGAGATGGCTGGAAAAGGAGGATGTGGAGGAAGTTCCAATCAGAGGAAACAGTGTAAGTGAAGATAAAGAGGTCTGAGGCACCATGGCAGGGTACTTAGTGCAAGTTTTTTGATTTGGCTATAGAAGATGGTAAATGAATTTTAACATAGTAAAACAGTTGTTCATAAATGCTAAAAACTAAATCTTTTGAATAAATAGTTCAATGAAATGGATAGTCCATAACCAAAAAACAGAGATGTGATAAAATAGATTTCACAGATCAAGAGAGTATTGAATAATAAATCATACTGAGATAATTGGTAAGTTATTTAGAAAAATAATAGACTCTTACTCCTCATGATTTTTAGTCAGAGTTTAGGGACTTAAAACTTAGAAAGTACAGGGTTAAGATTTTCCTCTGTGAATTAAAATTTAAGGTCAATGCTACTAGGTCAGAGGATATATATAACAAGTTACCTTAAAGCAGCAGTCTCCAACCTTTTTGGTACCAGGGACCAGTGCTTCTATGAAAATCTAATGCCCGATGATCCGAGGTGGAGCTGAGATGGTGATGCTAGTGCTGGGGAGTGCTGCAAATACAGATGAAGCTTTGCTTGCTTGCCTTCTGCTTTGTATCCTGGTTACTAACAGATATCAGACCAGTAGGGTCTGCAACCTGGGGGTTGGCGACCCCTGCCTTAAAAAAGCAAATATCTTACCTACTATATTACCTCATTGAAGGTATTGATCCTATAAGTAGGGCTGATTTCATGGGTCGCATACTCACAAAGGCCTTGAGTTTGGTTTAATGTTCTGCTGTTGCCCCCTTGAAATTCTTAACCTTTGAAAATGGACACTGTATTTTCATTTTGCACTGAGCCTTGCAAATTTTGTAGCAGTCCTGTGAGATTAGTCATTCACAGAAACAGAAAGTTACAGAGCCCAGCTTTAGAAGTAGATGTCAATGCTTTAAGAGAGTTGCAGCCAACACAAAGTGTCTGGGCCACATTAGCAGGACCATCTGTATTGTGTATGTGGATGCTTCAGACTGTCCCAGACTGATGCCATTAAACATTCATTTTATTTGACAAACTCTTCCTTCCATCTCCTTCTCACCAAACAACCTTTAAATTATGATTTGGCTTTTTCTGTGGTCTTCCTGCAGGGAGAAAGCTGGCTGGTCATGCTGATTCCCCGCTTGATTCAGAAAGTTAGTTACTAAATTGGCATCCTAGAGATATGCATCACTGAGGTTTTTTAATGGGAGCCTACCCCTGAGACACAGGTCCCCTTCTGTTAGATTTCTGAGACAAAAGGCTGAAGTCCAGGCATCATGCTGGTGAATTCACTCTCTATGTCAAATGATGATATAACACCTATCTTAGGGTTGTTGTGAGAGCAAATGAGAAAATATCCTCTAGGTCAGGGTTTCTCAACCTCAGCACTATTTAGAAGTAGATGTCCTCATGCCAGGTACTGATTCTTTGTTGGGTGGGAGAGCATCGTAGGATGTTTAGCAGCATCTTTGGCCTCTCCCGGAAGCTTCTTTCTAAGCCCCAGTAGTCGTGATCATCAGAATGTCTCCTGACATTGGCAGATGTCTTCTAGGGGGCAGATTTGGCCCTGGTTAAGAATCACTCGCTGGCTTAGGTACATAGAAAAATGCCTGGAGAAAAGAAAGCTAATGTCAGGTTTTATAAGAATAATGGTGTTAGTAATACTAATGATGATGATAATCTTCATTCCATCCTAAGGCTCTTAGACATTTTCCAACCCTTCAACCATCCTCTCTTCTTTAAATTTCTACATATGTGGTAGAATAAAGTCCATATGGGATAAAGGGTAAATTTAAGATCTACTTTTATAAAAGTGAAACAAAAGAGAAGTAACATATCTTTAGATTTTCAAATAAAGAAGGAATTTTAAAGCTCAAAACCCAGTGGTATTTTAGTGATGTTTAACATTTGAGTTTAAATCATATTGGGGAGTATTCTTCCTTGATGTCACTATGTTAAAAATAAACATACATAATCTGTAAAAGCTTTATAGTTAAAAAGCAAACTGGATAAAATGATTGTGAAAAATATGACAGAGGGGTGTTAAGAAACATATTAATATAATTCAAAAAGAAACCAAATCAATAAATTCTTCATACATGAGGACAAAGAAGGAAATTTAGTCAGCTTATAAACGCTTGAAAATTATTCCAATTCAATAATAATTTTTAAAAATTTAAATACTTTTCCGATCTAAATTGGCAAAGATTTTAAACAATAAAATCCAACTCTGTTGTGCAGTTTAGAGGAGGCTTCTTTGTAGCAGTGGATGGGTACAGAATCTCTGGAAAGAAACTTGGTGATAAGTATGTCTTAAAAATTTTCCTATCTTTTAGCCCCCCAAAATAACATTTGGGAATAATTCTTACAGCATATTTCTGCATGAAGATGTTTATTGCAGAGTTGTTTTAATAGAAGCCAGCTAAGTGTCTAGTATTAGGGGAGTAGTTAACTATAACTTATGCTAAATAATCAGCAGTCCTTAAAATAATATTTATAAAATGTTTTAAATGGCATGTGAAATTCTTACAGTGTTAAATGAAAAAAGCAGGTTTTAAAATTGCATATGCAGTATGAACTCAATTCAGAATAAAGACTGGAAAGGAATATGCAAAATGTTAATGGCAGTATTTGCTCCTGGAAGATTGGGTTATAGATAATTTATGAAAGTTACTCCTAACTAGATGATTAAATTAATCATTTTATAGCAGACTTAAGACTTTTTTGGTGTCTGTTCTTTTAGGGAATTTTTAGATCTTATACATTTCTGGGGCTTGGAAGTGAAGGTGAAAGAGGTTAAGCTATGTTTCTCTGAATAAGAGAAAGCAAAAAGCAATTATCAATGTCTAAAAGTGCAGCCCTGTATTTTAGTAAATTCTGTATATATTGGAATAAGAAACCGGCTTTGGGGGTAGATTGCTTGCCCTGGATAAGGTGAATTTATTATTTTTTTTGGCATGGTACTCTTTTTGTTTATTCATTTTTAAAGATATATTTATTGTAGTATGTTTCTTGATAAAAGAGTCTTTAAAATGTCCATTTTTATTTTTATAGTATGTGCAGAAGCTTATAATCCTGATGAAGAAGAAGATGATGCAGAGTCCAGGGTATGTAATTTACTGAATAAGTTAATTTTAAATTATCTGGTGTTGAATAAGGAAAATAATAATTGAAAGGATGTTAACAGGCATATAGGTTAACAGGAGATATGGAATTATTTTCACCATTTCTTTTCTTAGTCTAATCTCTGATAGCTTCTATTTCAAGTTCTATAGAATTACTTTGGCTAAAAGGAAAGATGAACATAAAAACTCAATGCAGTCGTGGTTTTATTTCTTTTGCAAAATACAGCCTGGTGATGAAAAATGTTCTTAGCCATCTTTTTCATAGTGATAATTTATTTTTCTTAGTATTTCTAGTAAAGAAAAATATTGGAAGAGCCTTCTGCTCCTACTAATTTATAAAAGCAGAAGCTTACTGTGAAACAAACAAAAATCACAGTAAAATTACATTTAAAGTGTCAGTACTGCAGTTATTTTTTAAAATCTTTGAGTCTTAATACTTTGCTCAGAAACTGACTTCTTGGAGGTCCTAATATTTTTGTAAAAATGTGTCCAGTTTGTTTTGAAGCAGTTTGTAAGCTGTGTCCTTTAGCTCTGTTCTTCTATTATTTATTTAGTAAAAAGTAAACTAGAGATTACTGTGCCTGGAAATGGAAGTAATAATTTACCCTTTTTTTTTTTTTTTAGTACGTACTTTGCAAAGTCCCCCTTTTTCTATTGGCTTTAAAAATATAAACAAAAATCTATTTCTGTAGCTATGAAAAATTCTTTAGTAAGATTGACTTTTATATGGAAAAGCAGATACTGCATCCCTAAATCATTACATTATTAAGCTCCCTGAAATGTATGTAAAATTCAATAATAGCAAGATCAGGAGCCTTTATATGACCAGAAGATCTTCAAGGAACTCCCATTTCACTCTCATACCATGGAGATGCCCAGCACCAGGGTTAGGGAGAAAAATAAATAAGAAACAAGGAAATTACCGTAGAGCTCAGAGTTGGCTTAGCTTCTGGGGATTGGCTGACTGGATATACTGCATTTCTAATGAAGCAGATCATTTACAGGTACACAAGAGTTACCCAAATTTTGGTATGCCCTTCTGGCACCACAGCAGCTCTATCTTGAGCCAAGAAAGTTATTTCAACAATGGTGAAATGATGTTCCAAACCTTTTCTCTCTGAGGATAGAGCTTCTCAGCAGGCAGACACTCATGATTGTTATTGCTTGAAGCTCTAGATGAATTTCATGAAGTAATAAATAACTTTTTGTTTTGTTTTATTATGTTAGCCTTCCTTACTTGAAGTAGGGAGAAGTGAATTTTGGTGCATGATTTAGTTAATACCCAAATTGTAGAAGTTTCTTGTCTACAATGAATTTGTAGGCACCAGAATCTATTTTTTCTGTTCATGTGTCATCTTAGAATCTATTTTGAGATGAATATTAATTAGATAGTGAAAAAAAGTTTGCATTTACCTTACCCTTATAGAAAAATTTCAGTGACTTTCTTAAAACTGGCTAATAGATTTTTGTGTAGTACATAAATAGCATACACGTAAATAGTACACATACACTATAAATTTCCTCGATTCTTCTTGAGCCTGTAATTTTCATTAATTGTTAGATATCCGAGATGGGTTCGAATTGCTAATTTTCATTTCCCGTTGTGAGTTCTGATATATTCCTGGGCACGAAACTCACCACTCCCTGATTCTGGTTGCTCTGGTGGTGGGGCTGGCTGATTGAAGAGGTGAGGTGCCAGCTCATCATCTCCCATGGTCACTCTTTGAGTGAACATTAGAATAGGAATAGGTGGTGTATATGTCTCCAGGAGATCAACTCGATGCCTGCTGCCTTTAGGACTGTTTCTTGCCTGTCCAACTTATTTTATAGTTATAAACTGCTGATGTTCATAAAAGAATAGACCATTTGGTCCAAGTCAGTTGAGCCTTCTGCTAGTCAAAAAGGACTCTGGGGAGTTGGCAGGCCACAGTTACAGAAAGCATTCTGTTGGTCTTCATCCTCCTGGAATGAAAGTTTCATAAGACTATAGGACACTGGTTTTCTTTGAGCTAAAGTGAGCACACCAGGACTATTCATTTTTCCTGAGGTCCAGACTCTTGGTGTGGCAGGCCACGATTGTTGCCCCCCTTTGGAAAGTTACTCCCTGTGGAGGTAGTTACATACATTATGCATAAAAATGTATTCAGCATCTAATGCACTATGCATGTAAGAATTAGCTGTCTTCTAGAGACTTTATCAAGAGTAAAGGAAAGAGATACATCCTGAAAGAGTATTAAACTCAGTGGTAAAGAGCAAGAATATTATAAAGAATATTAAATAGAATACAGGCCATCTAAATGTTCAACATAGCTGATGTCACCTGTTGTCCTTTTGTATGGCATCTTTAGTTATTGGCCAGTCACAGACCTTTACAAAGTGAACTTGCTAATAATGTAGGGGGAACACTCTTTTGAAAAAATGCTTAAGTTCCGTATTGATCAATGTGCGCTCCCTCCCTGGGACAAATTGTGTTACTTTCCCCTACTTAGTGGGCTTATAAGTGTCTAGTCACCTAAAGTGAACCTCAGCACTCAAAGTTCTTCCTTCTGACATCCTACTAGGAAATTTTATCTCTTATGAGTAAGAAGAGTAGACTAATTGTTTGTTAATTTGGTGTCCTTTTAGATTATACATCCAAAAACTGATGATCAAAGGAACCGATTACAAGAGGCTTGCAAAGACATCCTGCTGTTTAAGAACCTGGATCCGGTGAGATAAAACTCAATAGAAATGGTTTTTTAGTGTCAGTGTGAAAAACGGTGCAGGGTCTTGGATTTAACCTCTCCACAAGCTAACGTCACCCGTCATGGATTCCTGCATTCATAATGGGCTGTGTTATAAGGGAAGAATATGTTTGTACCGAACTTGGGAGGTCCACTGCTATTAGAATAAGGTGTAAGCAGGCCTGCCATTCGTCTGGGGGAAGACATTATCTCATCCCTCAAGGTTACTAGCTATAAACATAACCCTGAGAAATGGCCCAGGTGAGGAGAAGTTAGGACCTTGCATTCTTTGTATTTCCAGCTAGAATATGCAGGGAGGTACAGGGCCCAGGGTGGATTGCCTCTCTCACTAGCCAGTAATAGTAACTATATCAAATATATAACTTACATTATACATATTTTAAAAGTAACATTTTACTTGGCTTTCAAAGTGGGGAGATTTTTTGTTCATTGTAAGGATTTTGAAAATCTCTAGCCTTTGGTTTTGGGTGTATTTCTAGAACACCCTCTCTTAGTTTGAACTTGCTGTTCAAGTTTTGCCCTGCAGTTTGACCTAAATGTTCTGCTTCCGTCATCACAGATTATGCTTATCCACTGCTGTGTGGTCATTTGGGAAAGAACCCCAGCTGCCATGTTCCAAATGTGAAAACTAAGTCAACTTTTGTAATTTACTTCAACTTTTTTTTGGTCAAATTCAACATTTTATAGTTTTCAGATTGATGTCCTAGAGAAGAAAACATTAAATCGTAGACCCATTCTTTTTAAAACGAGGTTTTCTTTAAAAGGCCATTTTTATAAAGAGGGCAGTATACTGCATTATACTAAGTCTTCTATACTTCTACAAATATTTAAAAATATTTAGGTGTCTTATCATACACTGAGATATTTTTAAAAGCTGCTGTGTTTCTAGTACCATTCGTTTATATCATGTTCTCCAGGAACAGGGATTACATTTTGTGACTTTGGGGGTCTTGTTTTAGGACCACACATTCCAAGTTTTGTTCAGTTTGATCCAGGTCCTCCAGAATTATCCTTGAGTTTGCAAAACCAGGAGCTATAAAGAATCAGATTGCTGATTGTTCTCTCTAATAATGGAAGAGTAAGAAATGGAATTAATATAGAAAACTTAAGAATTTAGTTTATGAGTGGAAAATTTTCTTTGTAGAATTAAATAGTGGAATAAGTGACTAAAAGGAGTTTGTGAATTTTTGATGGGCTTCCAAATAATCTCACATCTCATTATCTAGAATGGTTATGATTCTGTGAAATAAAGGACACTAAACTATGTGATCTCTCATGCTTTCCAACCAGTATGAGTCCAAATAATTATTGGAAAGATAGAACTTTGTGTGTGTGTGTGTGTGTGTGTGTGTGTGTATGTTTGTCTAAGATAATAATTTGGTGTTGGAATTAAACTAAATTAGAATTTAACTCCTGTTCCAGATTCACACAGAAGAGAGCTGTAAAATTAATCCTTAGTTTTACTCTTACATGTAGGCTTTAACTAAGAAGATTCTCTATTTTTTGATTCGAACTTTACATGGGAGAATTTCATAGGCCACCAAAACCATTGATTCTCAAATATGCCTCCATTTCATCAGCGGATGTTGTTAAAAATGCATACTCTGGTTCTGTAGGTCTGTAGTGGAGCCTGAGAGTCTGCATTTCTCACAAGCACCCCCGTGATGTTGATGCTCCTGCCCCACAACCATACTTTTAATAGCAAGAAGTAGAGCCAGATGTGAAAATGCTCTAGTTCAGTATTTTGATACTACCATATGATTTTGTTTGCATATTTCCCTATTCAATTGAACCAGTATTTTAATGCTTCATCAGTGACTAAACAGTGATATTCTGGTGTTTATACACTAAGTGACAAACAGGCATGAGTGAAATAGCTGCCATTTATACTTTTCTAAGATGCTGTTTGTTCTGTTCCATCCTCTAGATTAAATTGATTTTTCTCGCCATTTCAACTTTAACTCTTTTAAAACATTGTGAAAATTTTGGTTTCATTTAAAACAATTTAAAAACTTGCTAGTATACTCTAACAAGGAGCATCTTTGCTTAATTAAAGTGGTTATTTTATAAACATAGGAATTTTTTAGACTTCTTTTACTGCTCTTTTGAAGGTTTTTTATATATATACATATATATAAAAATATAACATATATTGAAGACTTCTTAAAAGCCAAAAAGCCAGTTCATGAAATTATCAGCTTCATGAATTACCATTATTGAATGTTTTATAGAGAAGAAACAAATGAATTTATATAGCTGTTACCAAAAGATCTTATATTGAGCTTGAGCTCAAACCACCTTGGCTTATTTCCTCACTATCTCAAATCCTTCTAGGAAACATGCAGAATATAAATATATAAAAATCAGTTTTTCTCAGCAAATTACCACCTGGAATAAGAAATTTATCTCCAAATATGGCAGATTGAAGATTTTAGATTAAGTTCATACTTCAGATAGCTTTTATTCATGATGTATACTTTTTACAATAATCCATATGCAATTTAAATTGAATTATATGTTCAACTCATATAATCTGCTTATGATACAGTATCTCCTTTCAGTTCAATTCCTTGACTACTCACCATGTTCCAAAGCCTGTCTAAGGTGGTGGAGGCCACAGAAACACTTAGACATGGTTCTTGTCCTCTTGGAACTTAAAATTTAATGAGAGATTTAAATATGCATACAAAGCAATGTGGTAAAACATGATAAATGTTATAATGTGGTCGGGGCACTAGAAAGGATGAGGGTCTCTTAGCTTATCTGAGGATTCACAAGGCTGGAGAGGCCACCTGAGCTGCGCCTCAGAAAGTGAGTAGGAAATGCCAGTTGTAGAAAAGTACAGTGTTATCACTAGAGTCTAAATGGGGAGACATCCAGTTGTTGGCATGAAAACATGTGTGCTGTGTTCTGAAGGACCGTTTGACACATACTGTATGCAGTGGGCAGGCGCAATTGGAGCATTTTAAGTAGAGAATATAACAATCAGATGTGCCTAAGTCACTGTGGTGGCAGAGCATTGAGTTAAAGATGGGAGAGTGACAAGTAAGAACAAAGGAATGGAGCTCAGTGAAGAAACTATGCCATGATGCAGAGAAAAGAAATGGGCCCAGCTATGGAAGTGGGAAAAGGGATGGTTTCTCAAAATATTCAGGATTAGCAGAAGTTGGTACTTGGTGACTAAATGAATTCGGACTTGACAGAAGGAGTCTAGAATGATTCCCAGTATCTAGTTGGAATGACTGTGAAAGTGATACCTTTTCCTGAAATGAGAAGACTTGAAGGAGGAAAATGAAGCAATAGTTACAAACTAGCAAGAAGAATGATCTTGGCTTTCTGTCTGTCTCATTTGAATTTCCTGACTTGTTTAGCTTAAAAATCTTGCACATTCTAGGCCTCAGAACATTTTTCCTTAGAGTGCTGTATATTCATACATTGAGCACAGCATTTATAATTATTAACCTCTTTGAAGATAATCTTTTCATGAATATTTTAATGCTTGACTCTGTAGGCCATTTTTCTTCTGAAATATTTCTAGTATGAGGCAAAATGAAATAATTTTCCTAAGCTATATGATAGGCTCTTTCATTAATGGAGAGTAAATTGGTATTTTTAAAAGTGAATCAGAGCCCTTTTACTGAGCTCAGTCTCAAATTTGCATTCTGTAGGAAAATAAGATGTGGATTTCCTATAGTAGTTGTCAGTCATTGTGATAAGCCTCTGCATATTAACTATTTCCTAAGTTCTTTTTATTCTGTGCATATTTATAGGGAAATTACATTTTGATGGACTAGAACAGATACCTGTCTCATAGAGAAGTTCTAGAAGAAATAATTGTTCTGTATTTTATCAGGAATTACTTTTTCATATATCCATGTATGAATTCTTAAGCTTTATTATGTTTTAAAATGCAGCTAATTCCAAGGTAAAAAAATTAACTATAGCAATATTTTTTATCTTTTTCTCCATTTGACATTTGCAGCCAGAGCGAATCAATAAAGCTGATATTCCCTATCCATATGCCCTAAAAGAGTTGAAATATAAACAATAGCAAAAAAAAAATTAGTAAACCATTTAATCAAATTTCATGATTTTGATAGGTGACCATCTGTCGCCTGGTTCATGAACTCATTTGAGTAAAATGGTCCCTGTGGGGTCAATTAGCACCACATCTAGAGAGCACTATCTTAGTGCCACATTGCCGTCATCTTCAGCCCTGGCTGCTGTTTCAAAGACCAGTACCAGAGCTCACACAGGGACTCAGGGCAGGGACGGAAACCACTTCCTATAAACTCATCCCCATTATGCTCCCAAAAGTTTTTCTTAGCTCACATGAAGATGCAAATATTATATTCTCTGTTTAAATGGAGAGTTTGATTTTTTTTAGTTAACTAAAAATCTTAAATCAGTATACATATGCAATTTATAAAAATTCAAAAAGAACAAAAGAATGAAATTCTAAAAGAACAAAGAGTAGTCAGTAAACAGAAATCTCCCTTCCATCTCTGTCTCCCAGCAACCTAGTTTCTCAGGAGCCTAATTCTTTTGGCCTGTGTCTTTTTGCAGTGTAATGCTATGTATATACAAGTATATTGTTTTTCAACGTTGGTGGCAGTAAATTCTACCCAGTATTCTGCTCAGTTCTTATTTTTACTTAACAATATGTCTATATTCATAGATTCCATATTTTTTAAATTATTTTTATCAGTACTAATTTATTTTAAAAGTGTAAATGGGTTACAGTTATGTATTATAAAGCTTGCTAAACCAGGAAAACACATTAACATTTTGCTATTGTCTTATGTGTTAAAACTGTATATATAACAAGGAGGGGGTCGCAGTGGTCAAAATAATATTGAAAAAGAACAAGTTGTAGGACTCACACTTACCAGCTTCACAGCTTTTACTACAAAGCTACAGTAATCAAAACAAAGTGTTACTGGCATAGGGAAGAACAGTGGAATA